GGTCAGGTCAAGGTCAGGTCAAATTAGGTCAAATTTCAAAGTTGATATTGTTGCATAAAATGGGTATCGAATCGATGCAGCTCGTCACGGGGAGTTCAATGGTGGTCTTTGTTTTGCTGTACGTGGTCTAGAATCGCTAAAAATTGAGTTCAAAAATTTGACGTCATCATTTTTGAACAGTTTTTCGCTATAACTTGGCCAAAAAACGAGATATCGATCTGAAATTTGGTATGCATATAGAAGAGCGCTGGGAATATCAAATGTATTCCGGTTTTTTCGAAATTCGGAAAAATTGTGGATTTTTTTTAGTTTTTCTAAAAAAACAATTTTTTGAATTTGTTTTGGTCAAAAACCCAAAGTTTTGAAAATCCGAGATAGCAGTTTTGTAGCGCCGCTTTTTGTCTACTAGACCATATAAAGAACTTTGAAATTGCTTGATAGCTGTAGATTTGGTGAGCGTTCCAAGATTGCATGTTTTTTTCTCATTTTTGCTCGAACATGACCTCAGTTTGACCTCAATAACTCCTAACCTAAGGTGACCTAAGACTTGAAATTTGGTGTGAAGGTGTCAAATTGATGCCCGGGAAGGTAATGAAAATTTGGCGGCGCTGCGCGCCGCCATTTTCTTGCTGTTCAGGAAAAACCACAGGGGGGGCCAAAATGGCCCCCCCAAAGGGGCGAGGGTTTTAAAAGAGCTATTGAATACGCTTTTCCGCGGCGCTGTAGCTCTATCGGTTCCCGAGTTAGCCGTTGGCAGTTTCCAAAATGTTGAAATAGTCAACATTTTACCTTTGGTGACCTCTGCTGACCTGACCTTTGACCTGACCCAAAAAATGACAAGTGTTTTCGTCCTTATTTTGGACGTTCTTTTGATTGCCGCTTACTGCGTGTCGCTACATGGCTCAGGAAGCAGAGTTAGAAGAGGGGTTCTGACACCCCCCGGCCCGGCGCGGAAGTCTCGGAGCACCGGCCCGGCGTGGGTTAATTCTACACTTTTTTATGCTAATCAATTTTCTCTATCTCCAAAATTGTAGACGTGACAGCTCTTCTCTCAAAGCCTTTTTTGGGTCGAAAAGGTATAACATGACGTCTAGCTGACATCATTTGCGGCCAACCGATCATAAGCTTTGTAAAAAAAAAATTGCCAAAAGGTGTAAAATTGATGCCCGGGAGGGGTCCTGAAAGTTTCGTGGCAATATCATACTTTAGGAGATATCGACTGAAAAGGAGAGGGAGTCGTTGCACCCATCCCCCCTCTCAACCCCCCGCCCCTCCAAAAAAAAACGGGGCGTGGGCAAGTGTGGACAATATGACAAAGTTGGAGTCGATTTTTTAAAGCCAGATTTGGAATCAGTCAATTAATCATGGAACCGAAACCCCACTGGCTCCGCAACCCTGCAACTACCAGTTATAGCCGTGCATCTAAAATTTCATCCCCAGGTGACGCTGAGGTATAGAAACCTGACCCAGATGGCGCCGTGAGTGGCGAAAGGAAGGGACGGCTTAGATTCCCTGGACGCAACACCAATACTAGGGTGGCACTTAATTTCGACTTTTTTAATTTCGACCGGGACGGGTAGCCATATTGTTCTACCTGACGAAGAAATGATCTGTATGAAATTTTATCAAAAAATAATTATATTTAGAGGTAGCTCAATGGGGTCATACTTGGTACATATTGAGAAAACGTATATTGTGAACGGGGATCCAGATGTGTGTCGCGCCTTTCCAAGCATTGTCATATTTGAGCTGTAACACGTTTAAATGAATGATAGATGCCTTCCTATTTGTTTCATAACCCCAGTGTTTCTCGCCGCAAACGCGCTGTGACACAATGCGTGATTCAACCAATGGCCGTTCAGCGTAGTTTAGCTTATTTTGTTCGGTGACGGTAGCCCGCTGCCAGGCGTGCAACTTCAGCTCTTCTCTCATATTACGATGGTTGGGAAGGGTCACGAGACTGCTGGGGTTTGCCGGGGTTACATGAGCAAATAAATACGTATCAGGAATGGTTTTTCTTCGCTAAGTATTGTGATCCGTTTGTAATACGCATTTACTCTGCTCATGTATCCCCGGTCACTGATGCGCAGGGGGACACTGCCAGTGTACGGCCACAGGGCAGGTCTCCGTGTCTTCGTGATGTCAGAGAGAAGATGTGCACGTGAAAAAGATAAGTTGACTGTTTTGCTAAGCCTTTTCAGAACATTTTTCACTAGCCAGGCTCAAATTGACAGGCCGCAGCAAACGCTGTTCTAGAATCCCTCGATGAGTGAGAGTTGAAGGATTGAGTGAAAGCGCTCAGTTTTGACACAAGTGCATCGAACACCGGCCTCAGTGCAGGAGCCTGCACGATCATCGAGCAGCGGCTTGAGCAGGACTTGCTCCACCTGACTTGCCACGACATTTACGAGTTTGTTCTATAAAGACATTTTCAGCCTGCCTCGGCCCGTCCAGCGGCCCGGACGTTGTTTTGTTTAAGCGCTTCCATAAAAAGTGGGCGTCTAGATAGAACGAAGCGATAAACCTTCAAAAGCTGTGACATGTCCCACCTCCACAACCCGCGTGATGCTCTTGCACAGTTCGGTCGCATATCCTTGACCGCCAGCACTCACGCGACAACCGTGAGATGCTGGAGCTGGCCATCACTGTCCTCGGTGGTGCTCCGAAACGAGGTATGAAGATCGCTCGCCCTGATATGCCCCTTGTGTGCTGGTTGACCAATGCCATTTACGCTATGAAGTTATACCTCTTCCGAGCACAATCCCGGCTCACTACGTCTAAGAAGAAGAGCCTCCAACAAATCGTGACCTTTGTGGTAACAACGTAGTTTTCGGCTCGATTCAATGCACCGCTTCTGGCGTCTGCACCAGCGCAAGATCTCGACTTCCTCAAGTCCCTCCTGGAGTAAGAATTGGACGAATTGGTGTTCGAATTGGTGTCCAAGACGATAGTGTTGGCTTCCACCATTGCCTTCAGCCGTCACTCTAAATGAGAGGCTGGTCGCCCTCAACTTCTAGTGAAGGAGATAACGATCGCTGCTACTAAACGTGAGATGGCTGCATCGTTACGAGAGGAGAGGGCCGAGTAACCCCCCCCCCCCCCCCGTCGAGCCCACGTTGAACTTACTATAGCTTCAGTCTCTAGCAAGTCCACGGCAGACTTCGTCATATCACAACTGGCTTCACAAGCTTCTTCAGCATCCTCGGTATGGATACCGACTTCCTCTTGAAGGATCTGATTCCTTGGGGGGGGGGGGTCAAGCCATTCTACAACGCCGCCATGCGCTACATGAGGTCTCTTCACGCCTCTACGACTTCGCGGAACGAGGCATTTTGTTGATGGCCAGGAAATCGATCTGACCCTCAGGAAGGATAAAGACTAACAGCAGCTCCTCTTGTAGGTCGTCGAGGAGCAAAGACGCAAGCATTCTGACATACGCAAGGCGATCATAACTTCTAAGTAGGCAAGACTAGCCGACGAATGATGTGTACAAGTGTTGGCTGATTACGGATGATACCGCTTTCTCTTTTCATGGAGTTATGCAGTAAGTTATGCATACCTTCAAAAGAATTATGTGCCTCATATGTACCTATATATCTGAGCTTTAGGTGCTGAAACGTTTCTATAAAGTCTTGGCAGCGTCCAATGTCATTGTGAACATCAGAAGTACACGTGGAAATTAAAATTTCGGCAAAGTTGTGTTTTCCACAAAAATGTGAACTTTGACCTGGTTGAGCTACCTCTAATTAAACATATTTTCCAAAAATATTTTACACACAACGTTTTCTCGGGTGGTAGAACAGATTGACTGCCCGTCCCGTTGAAAATTCGCAAAACGAAATTTTAGCCCCGTTTTAGTGCCACCCTAACCAATACCTTTAAATAATTGAATAATTTTAGCGTAATGCACTTGGAACTATATGTATTTCTCGACTCTGAGTACTAAATAAGGGTCTGTATCCATATTCTGAAAGCCTCCATTCTGAGCTCAACGTCCGGTCCGTTGCCTATATGAGACCCAGTTGGAATGTCCAAATTCTCGGTTATTGGTGCTGGGGCTAGTCACTCCAGAGGTCTATGGTTGAGGCAGCTGTGGCCATTTAAACTTATTGGGTGGGACAAAACTGTTTGAATGTGTAGGCATGCTTATAATTTAGATTAGCTACATTATGAAGTCGGAAGCGGGACCGGTCACCGAAAGTCTTGTGACTGCTCGGTCCCTCAGCCCTGAACGTACGCTCACGACCTGTTCGCAGATGGCGCTGAGGTATGAGAATCTGACGACTAAATGCCGCCGATGTTCTACAAACAGCTCGTCAGGGTCCACTGCGCAACAAACTGCTTAGAGCGGACTATGAAGGTCCATGTGTATTCATTTTATCGCACACATACTGCTTAAAACTGATAGTATTCAAGATACACATACATTTTACTTACAATGCATCACAGTACTTCGCTGCTTCTTCACAAAGACGCATAGCACTGGACACTGGTCCTTTGAAGCAATAAGTCAAATGATCACTATACTTAGGTAATTAGATATCTACACCTTCTGTGGATATGCAATAAGCACATGCAATGGGCATTCATTAATCGGTTGCAATCATTTAGATGTTAGCAGTCATGCAGCTGCTTCTATAGTCAGCGTCCATTGATCATTGAACACTGATCAGTGATCAGCAGCTAGTGGCCAGTGGTCAGAATCATCAGTACAGAAGCGTTCAGTGTCCAGTGACCACTGGTCAGCCTTCACTGGTCAATCATCCATCCACGGTCTCTCTCTCTCTCTCTCTCTCTCTCTCTCTCTCTCTCTCTCTCTCTCTCTCTCTCTCTCTCTCTCTCTCTCTCTCTCTCTCTCTCTCTCTCTCTCTCTCTCTCTCTCGCTCTCTCTCTCTCTCTCTCTCTCTCTCTCTCTCTCTCTCTCTCTCTCTCTCTCTCTCTCTCTCTCTCTCTCTCACTCTCTCTCTCTCTCTCTCTCTCTCACTCTCTCTCTCTCTCACTCTCTCTCTCTCTCTCTCTCTCTCTCTCTCTCTCTCTCTCTCTCTCTCTCTCTCTCTCTCTCTCTCTCTCTCTCTCTCTCTCTCTCTCTCTCTCAGTGACCCCGGTCAGTGACCCGGTCCACCGGCGATGACCTCTCTGAGCTGGTCGGCGCTCAGGTGGAGGGCGGCCGCAGCCAGCCGCATTCGTCGCTGGTGACCGGTCAGTCTGGCGCGCGCCACGCCCGGCGGCCAGCGGCCCAGCTCGCGCTGCGCGGCCGTCCTCGAGCCAGAGAACACCGCCGCGTCGTCGTGCGCGCTGATGGCGAACGCCCTGTCGGAGAGCGCACAGTCATTGGCGCGGGGGCTCGGATTATTTCGGAATGATGTTCCATCCTTCGCAAGCTATCAGTTGACGGAGAGCTAGGTAGTGCCGCTTGTCACGCGATTAAGTGTAGCTATGGAAAGCGTAGGTATGGTATGCTAGGGTCACTGCAACAAGTTGTGTCACTCAGCCTGTGTGCTGCACAGCTTACCGTTCCAGGCAACGGACTGCCACTTGCCACTTGCCAGTGAGAAATGAAGTACCTATTATTCTACAGTCAATTGTAAGTATGATATAGCGAATGATTAAAGTACATGTGGTGTAGTAGTGGGTGTACATAATTATACCCCTGATTGCCTCCCGGCGCCACGCAGACGGCACTCAGGCCAGGTGCCGTCTGCATCGCGTCGGGCGACCATCAGGGGTAACTTCGATTGTGAATACGGCCACAAAATAACCCGTTACCCGTTACTTCTACCCCTACCCTTAACACGCGCAGTGGAAGGGGGCGGATTTCGCCCACCCCTCCTGTTTTTCGCCAATAACTCGCGCCGCAAACATAATATCAATGTGAAATTTCGGCCACCTGTCCAAAATTGAATTGCGGATCTTCTCGTGCAAGAAATAAGAAAATCGGTTCACAACTTTTCTAGTAATAGCGGTGTAAAGTCAAACATCCTGCCGCCGCGGCGGCGCGGCGGCGCGGCGGCCGGCGCTAGCCGTTACGCGCCGCCTGAATTGTAGACTGTGCCGGGGCGGGACGGTTCCGTCTTTACATCGCGCTCCTTACCTACCGCTGATTATATTAGATTCGCGTCAAAGTCGGTGAGAAGACTGAGAAATGTACAGGCAATCATATGGTCAAAGAATTTTGAAAATCGGCCGGTAACCACTTGAGTTATGAGTGTGTAAACACAAAATTGTGATTGCCGGTTTTCCCGCGTCGGCCGATCCCGCTTCAGCCGGCGACATCTTACCATTAGCAGGCTTCTAACTGCCATATTTATTGTTGGATTATTTAGAAATTCACTACACATACTCACAAATGTTTGTTCTTTTGTATAGTGAAAGAAAAAATAAAATCGGCCGATAACTTTTTGAGTTATCGGCGTGTAAACGCAAAAAACGTCGCTCATATGGCAGATTTGACCACATTTGACCTCATTTGACCTTGAAGACATTGACCTAGGGTCATGAAATTCACACACAAGAGAGTTCCCCATGGCCCTCACCGACCCTCCAAATTTCGTCTTTCTAGCTCCAGTGGGAGCTGAGATCTAAGGGGGGCGACATCCGCCCCCCCCCCCCCCCACCTTCCACTGGGCGTAGTACTCGCAACCCTTCCACTGCGCGTGTTAACCCGTGATTGTGAATACGCCCACAGAGGATACTTACGATAGAGGTGAGTACGGTACCCCGATCACCATGATGTGGTTGCCGTTGTACCAGAACCTCCAGATACCCTGGTGGTCCCCTCTGGTGTCCAGGTCCCAGAGATTCAGACACTGCCAGCAACACAAATGCATGTTTAGTGGTCATAGCATGACAACTAACTCCTATTGCATTGCAAAGTGCAAGTGACATTAACCGACTTACATCGCAAATCTAAATCGACTGAAAAGTATCAGTTTTGAATCGCTTTTAGAGGACCTTATGTTGATGCTTTTATGTATTTTACATGCTGTCGTCAGTCGTGATTGAAACCATCCCAAAATCACCACTTCCTCACCGCAGCAATTTTGGCAAAGGCTTCCATGTCGTCAGGTCCGTAAACTCGCAGGTAGACTAGGTACGTCTGATTCTGTAACACATTTTCATGTCAGGTAGGTAGGTAGGTAGGTTCTGCTTACGGGCCACCACAGAATCCTGTATCTGGGCCCGGTTCATGTCAGGGTTGGGACCAATTTTAGGCCACACACAAGCTCATTGGCTAGCATATTCCGTTGGCAGTAGGTATGTTGATACCTTGGTTGATACCGAGATCTTAGTTTCATCTGCATCTATTATGCACTCCGTGGCTGAGGCTTAGAATCAAAAGCTACTCATTTTGTCAAAGTATACCTATTTGTGTAGCTCATAAGAAAATGGTAATATTTCGAAACGTAAGCTTGTTCTATAACGTCTTGTTTGTTAAGACTGGCCTGGCACCACTTACTTTAAGTTTTCCAACTTTGTCGACAAATGGATGAAACAAGTCGAAAAAGACCCTCACAAGTGCAAAAGCACTTATGGAGATGTTCGCTCGCTGTAATTTCCAACTAGATAATGCCAGAGTCGATATGCCAACAGCGAGTTTGGATGTACGTTACATTTAGTATTGAAAAAACGCATTACTCTTATCACGAAACATATTTTGCCAAGCATACCTACCAATCAAGCGCAATGCAAAGACACCATTGTAATGAAAATGCACTTGCCTTCGTATCAGATGGTATGAGTGTTTTGCAGGACGTGGAATTCCTGGTCTCCTCGGCCAGTGGTATGCCATTTTTAATCAAATTCTGCAGCTGCTTTTCGTACCTTGGATAAACCATGCTGAAAGGACAAAAAACATCAGAATGTAATAGAAACTTGGTTTTCATCGAAATTGTATTACGAAATGTTTCGCATTTTGTTGCCCTTATACATAGACGGCATTCGACGATGCACAAGTTACCTCGATAACTCACTTATCAACCATGCAATTAAAGGTTATGTTACGATTTTGGTGAGCAATTTATTTTACCTCCACATAATCGTTATCACATTTGCATTTGAATTAAATATCCAAGCATTGTTTAAAACATGACCATATGGCCCTACAATCGACCCTGGCCTTGCCTCAAATAGATTGTGCACCATATACACCAAAATAGGTATGCCCAAGATGGTATGCCCTTTTCCTCTGACTTGATTGCAAAAAAAAAAAGTTGTAATGAAGGCTATTCAAAACAGATATGAAACAATTATCTTTCACTCAATAAGGGCATGACTTCAGCCGTGCCCACCAGTTCCATACCACCCCTGCTCTGCAGCACGCTCCCCCCCCCCGTGGCTCACTCTTCGACGTTCCTCAGGCGCACATCGGGCACTGTGTTCAGCGCGTGGTCGTAAAAGTAGGCGAACTGCATGTTGGCACCGACGTGGTTGCCCACGTAGCCGAAGTGGTAGGTTCTCGGCACGTCAGGTATGATGCAGTCGCGTCCCTTTCGGTTGCTGCCCAGCCGCAGGAACACGTCCCAGTCAAAGGTCTGTGGGACCAGGCACAGATGAGCAGCTCACGCTCTCAAAAGGTGTTCTTCGAGTTGTGATATAACCTTAAAACGACTGCGTGTTAAACAATTAGCATCGTACAAGTGAAAATTTAGTTTTTTTTCCCTTTCGAATAATTTCAATGCCGAGAACGGAGGTCACACGCAATGCATCCAACAATCAATCTTGAGAAGAAGCCATGTTAATTTCAGCTGATTGAATAATCAGCCAATGGACTGACCATTTATTCTTCATAACAGGTAGTCGCTCACCTCGTTAGTGGCTTAAGAATCTTCGTATAGAAAGAATAGATCTAGTTTTACGACTGAAATCTCTTTTGAATGCCCTCTGCACTCGATTTCGCAACTAAGATAGCATAAATAATGTGAATTTAAAATATGATAGACGATGATTGATGCATAAGTTAGAGCTGGGTTTTCTATTCATCTGGTGAGGCACAGAACATTACTAGTTTAAAATGGAAACAGACTTAATGTCCCAGCTGTAAGTGAGAATTGCCGGGCTGTGTGGTGAAAAAAGTTACTTAGAACCGTTTTCACGACGACCATTTGGTACACATTTGGTGCAGATTAGCTGCAGATTTGGTGAAGTTAGGTTCATTTTGTTTCTTAAAAATTGCCATCATGGGTTGCGCAGACGCTTACAGACCTCACTTTTTAAATAATCAGACATTATTTTCGAAACACTGAAATAAATCCACATTGTGAAGATATTTGTTGTACAAGAGATTTGGTGTAAATTTGATCATATTTGGTGCATTCGCCAGATGGCCTGTCGTGAAAACGGCTTATGACGGTAGACGGGCGTCTCTACTCGTCATTCCATAATCCATACCTTCCACGATGCTGGCCACACGGGAAGGATTTCTTCAAAAAACAGACTTCTTTTCAGCATCCACCCTAATCCTGGCAGAAATCCAACCCTATAAGGAATGTAAATTGTTATGAAATTGTGGCGTAGGCATTTAATTGTAATTTTCTACTTAATCGGATCGGTTATCACTTAGCACTGGTTCTAAGGTCCTATTTTTGCATTTACAGATATTATAGGTACAATTAATACTGATAGCTAACTCATTTGGCGTTGCAGCTGATATGAATCCACTTCCGTTGTGTCAGCTAACAATCGTACCTCATAACGTGCTCTTTAGGTATCGATATGCTGAAAACACAAACGAGATCGTGCGCTATTCGTCTGACCCTTGACGCGCGTGCGCCGGTGAGCGCCTGACCTGTAGAGCTGCTCGGGGTCTCCCACGGTGTGCCAGTAGCCGTGGTCGTTCCACGCTGACACGCAGTACAGGCTGACGTCCTTATCCAGTAGCCAGTGGGTCTGGTCGAAGTAACTGAGACGGAGAATTGGACCCATCAGGGATGTGTGCACAGGAGGCAGCAGCTCGTAGTGCCTTTTATCGATATAAGTGCTTTTTATAGTTGTGTGTCCATTCTATGTTCATCCTTTAACCCTATTCCTGGCGGGGGGGGCCTCAGGAGCCCCCCCCCCCCTGAGGTTTTTTGGTTATTTCTCCCAAACGCGTTGAGCTAGGAAGCTCAAATTTTCTGACTTTTCCTAAAAGGCTTCTACGCAACATGTCTGAAAATTTTGAGTTGATCTGACCTCAGGTCAGGTCACCAGAGGCGGTTTAGTGACCCTACCTCAGAAAAGTTTGCAATCACGCCAGAGCTAGAGTTTTTGACCGATCAATTTCTTCTCTTCAGGCTTTAGTTAGGGTACCAGTATGTGCAATTTGTATATCTCGGAATTTTGATATCGGTGACCTAAGGTCAGGTCAGTTTCGCGACCCTCCCCATTATAAGTCAATGGGGGAAAAATCAACTCCCTGTTTTTACCACTAAAACGGGTCGGAATGGCCCCATATACCATACATGACTTCATATACGATCAACCTTAACTACCTTGAGGTCTGTTTTGCTGTTGGGCAGCTGTGAGGTCATGTGACGTCATCAAAGGTCACCAAAGGTTTTTGGCCAATAACTCCGTACAGGAACAAGATACAGATGCGTGGATGGTCTCATTGTGTTCAGCTCGTCAAGACGCATCGAATGATATACATGATGACCTCGAGGTAACGTGACCTGAGGTCAACCTTTGACGTGACCT